TAATCAAGGCTTGAGAAAAATTATTACCTTGTGCTATGGCCTGTCTACACTTAAACTAATATCGCCGAATTGCATCGTAAAGATTTCATGATACTCAATTCAATATTTGAAGGCATCTTTTAAAAGCGTATTGCGCACAATTTAACTAAAAAGGGAAATGAGTTTCAAACTTGTAGTATATGTGTTATACCTCGATGTTAATGCTACGGTGTAGCAGGTTATTAGAAAAAAAAGAGTAGAATATCTGGTTGGTGGTTTATTGTTGTTATTATCGTTGCTAACTACAAACATGTAGTTAAAGATACTTATGGATTACTTTCAAGATTTAATTTGCTAGTTTCAGCCTACACATTATAGAGGATGCATGAACTTCACATTTTAAATTCTAAAATGGTATCGTTGCACTGCTGAGCTCGGATCTAGATTTGATGCATATAATGAGGAACTTCTATAATATATGGAGTACAGGATTTCATGAAAAATAAGTGATATTGGAAATTTAGGTTCGAAGCCCTCAAGAGCGTGGCTGCTGGTCACATAATGATGCCAGCCACACAAAAAATATGGACTTCTCACTCGGAAGAATGTGCTCATCTCGCGATGTACGCATCAATGAATACTACATGTTAGGGCCAGGTGCTTCGCTTTTGCCCTCTTTATATTCAAGTCACTGTCTACTTTGCTGGATACTGGGATGCAGTGAATAATAAGCCAACATTTTGACGGATCATGAATCGTGCGTCGAAAGTAGTCGAAAGTAGGCCATCAGTAGAAAAGTAGATCAAATATACCCAAAAACTTGAAGCAACATGTTGATAGAGGTCAATGCAAAGTGAAACAGGAAATATTCTTTAGAGTGGTAATACTGTATATCATTGCCACTGTTAGTAGTGAATAATACTGCTCCTGTAGAATTCTTCCAGTTCCAGTCACATGGTTTTGCATACTTTTCAAAGGAAGGATAAGAATGAAAAACAATTATTGCATCGAAGCGAGGGCAGATCAAAACAGTACAGCATAAACATATCCGAACAGAAAGTATCATACTGTGAGTAGTGTGTATTTCGTTCAGCTACTTCTCTCGCCATAATGCTCAATCAAGAATTCCCTTTTTGTACCGGATCCTAAAAGAAAAGTGGAAGGGAATTCAAAGCTGACTGTGAGAGTGAAAAATATAAAATGGAACTGAAGGCGACTTCTGGTATTCATCGCATCTCTCTTCGACTGAGCGATCTATTCAAGGGCACTGGGATAAATAAATAGATATGTGCTCAAAAACAATCCTTCAGATTTTTAGTAGCTATTATTCACGTAGTTCCAGGGTGTAATTTGTCGTTATGAGATATTAACATTTCCAGAATCGGAAAGCATGCCTGAACATTTATGCTAGCTTCACGCGGTGCTCATTGTAGGATGAGTCCATTAATGCATCATGCTATTCGTTTATCCTCTGAAGAGAGTGCGCAAAGAAACTTAGATTCGAAAAGGGAGTCATACGTTTCAAACATAATGCTCTGTCTGTAAAGTGTTTCCTTGCTTTGATCCCGGGGTCAGATAGGAAGATGGTTTTCATCTACAATAACTTGTGCCCGGCATTTTACTTTGTATGTTATTAGGTCCGAGAAATTAGGGGGTGGTTCTTGAACATGATGATTCTTCCTATATTCTCATGATGGTATTTGTGCCTTCTTATCCTACTTCTACTCGAGATCCCTTCAAAACATTCTCTCTCTATTCTATCCGCAGACAAGCGTTTATTAAAATATATTCTTTGTTTACATACAAATTTTCAAGCAACTGAATGTCCATGCCTCCTAGCACTCCTTCGAAAAATTTGTGGCATCGACCGCGAGTAGATACAAGGGCATCGTCATTCCAAGTACCGAGTTTATATTCTCCAAGTTTTAATGTGAACTAGAAGACAATCGGAAGAATAAGGATTCCTGAGACTCAGATATCTATGGCCTGATATTCAAGGTTTAGTAATTTCTACCTCAACGATATCTATTCTCATAATCTCGATTGTTCAGTTGGACTTAACATCATCTAATGAGATGTATTTAAAATTCACTCTCATAGTTTTGGACGAGTATAAATTACATCAAATTTTTGTACATAAAAGCCTTCAGTAAAATGGAATTTTTTCTACAATATTATTGTATGAATCCAATCTAGTTTACATCTACAACAATGACTAAGTTATTTTCTTCATAATAAGATTTGAATGTAGATGATGACATGTCAAACAGTCATACACAATCACTAATCACGCCTTTTTACTCAACCGTCAATAGAGTCTAAGAATATTATTGTTGGGTACTTAATATTCAACCATTCTATTTATACTTTGAATAACTTTGCATCCACATTTTCCAATCTATCTTTATTCCAGTATATTATTTGAACTGAGCGACTATCGTCTCTTCATATTGCTACTGAGTAGTTTATAATCTGGAATCCCACAACAGCACAAAATCTAATATTCACGTGTGACCTACTATCACTAAAATTTCATACTCAAAATGGCATTCATAATATCCTGCCGGTTATCCTCTTTGTAGTCATATTCACCGATATCTTGCAAAGTATAAATATTTTGACTATTCTAAACAGTATATTGTATTCATAAAAATATTTTGTCTACATTTTTTTTTATGGGTGGATATAAATATTAGAAGAAAACTCATGAGTGATAGAGAAATCATGTACAAAAATCCTATGAAAAAAATACTATCAGAAAGCATCAGTCACAGTGCAAAATTCCAAATAACTTTAGATAAAGTCTCGTATGACATACATGAAGTTGAAAAATATGCATTCAATTCATTCTAAGAATTTGTGAGATATGATATAATTTTTTCAGTACAAATATTTCCTAAAAAAGTTGCGTATCTTCATCATCTTTATTCTTGTAAACGCTTTGAAAAAATCAATCATTTTACACAGTCATGAATATTCATTCATCATCCTGAATAAAAAAGTTGGGAAATTTTTCCATATTTATTCATTAAAATTTCATTACAAAAATATTAGTATCTAGACAATGAGATGAGCTAAATACATTACTCAATATCAAGAAGATTTTCATTTAATTTGATATTCCAATTAAAAAAATCAAACTTTCATATCAAAATTATGTAAAATAAATCGATAAGCAAAAAAATCAATAAAAATTAAAATTTATACATTACGTTCAAAAATTAGAACAGAAAATATAGATATCAATGCCAAAAATTCATTTTTGTTTACATATGATCTGACTTAAAAACTAAATTCTCATATTCCATTTATGAAATCCATTCTTAAATTAATGAAAAAATCCTCCGTCAAAAGAGTATTTTGAATTTTTTCTTATCATTTGGTTTTTATAAATAGGTAGTGAATTAAAAAAAACATTTTTACGAATAAAAATTTTAACTCAGGATTGACATACTGAATCTCGAATATTTTGGCGTATCAATAAAGTTTGGATTATTTTTAAAAAAACTTAGAAATGTCTAAATTCTATCCACAAATTTTAAAAAAATGAGATGTGGAGTGAAATTTCGGTTTTTGATTGGAGGTTTTTAGCAGCAAAAAAATTTCAACAAAAAAAATGATTTGAAAAAAATTATTATTAGGTTGATGGATATCGATGAAAATTAATATATTTGTATGTGGACATGACTATTTTAAAAGTAAAATATATATGGAAGCAACACTGCTTTATTTTTCGTTTGACTATAGAATATCATATTCTCATGTTTTATGTGCTTCATCTAAAATTCATGTAAAAATTTGAAAATATTCATATTTGATTGTGTACAAGTAGTTTGATTATCCATATTTGTTAATCCGATGTTAATAAAAAATTAGAATTATCTAAAATTTTATTTGTTCTATTAGTATGCCTAGTAAACGTATTTCTTGGAGATTTATGTAATACTTCGGAATTTTTTTTACTCTAATACATTCCTGTCCAGTTTTTATATCTTGATAAGGAGTGAAATGTTGTGCCACAATTCTTTGGTTAATATCTTCCCAACAGAAATATCAGTAATTTTTACTCAAAATTCGACTTGAAAATTCTTTTCATGTTTACGATACCACCACATAGCACTACCACATGTTTCATACTTTTAAGATACGGTCTTAGTAACAATTATTTAAAAATTTGGATATGTGCTCAATGTTTAGGCGAGTGAGAAACTTTTGCTGCTTCCTTCAGCTTTTGCACTGAGGGTTTAGTTGGTCCTTACAGCAAAAGTTTGGGTTCGAAACTCCAAACTCAAAGAACTGGAAGCGACTAAATAGAGAAATGAGGTATTTCTTCGTTCGCCATGGCCCGGGCTCCCGAAATCAAAGTGATTCACTCATTCCTTACTTATCTTTGTGCTCATCATCTCCGTCACTTCTCTTGTTCGTGAGACTTTGTTTTCCCCTATCGGCTGTCCCAGTATTTAGAGTATTAAGAGGAATCGTTGTAGAAAATCCGAAGAAGTATTTTCGGGCAAGTTGTAAAACTCTCAGCTGCTAATAGTCCAAGAAGGAGGACTCTATTCCATCCACCTCTCGTCCCCATAAAATCAGTTTCCGCATCGAAATGCTTCAAACACAAGGCCTAGAGGTTTATATGTGAAGGGATGTGTTACCCACGTCTAGCAAAGGTTCGGGCGGAGGCAATTTCTTTTTCAAGGGCATTGATATCTAAATTGTGAACATTGTGAGAGTATCGTCCCCAGTATCGTGGGTGTAAATAGCAGACATCTTTCCCTATTTTTTTTCTTCATATTTTGCAGAGATATCGTAACGAAGTGGCTGAGTTGACAAAAGCACTTTGCAATGACTTGGGTTGGCCAGCTTTCATTGGTTCGTGCTGTGTATGAATCGGATCTGGACTCAGAACGTTTGTCTTAAGGTTACAACTTACGGAAAGTTATGTGTGTCCTTAGGCAGCACAGTGAATTACTATGTAAACTTTAGACACGAGGCACGCATCAACCATGTCGTACTAAGAATCCACTCCCAAAGTTCCGATCTTTCCATAAAAAAAACAACAGATACACTATGTCGTTTTGGGAAAATTCTTTAACATTCCTGGACTAAACTTGGGAAAACGAAGTGTAAAAAAGTGGAACGACGTTGCCCAGAGGAATCCGGAGACGCCAATTGATATGGGATGGGAAGAGCCCATCAAGTCGTTCAGTGATGAATCCAGAAGGGAAGATGGGGACAGGCCCCAATAGCAATGGCCCAAAGTCCAGTTTGTGGTTCGAAATCAGCTCAAAACTGTGCTTACATCACCCACATCGAAAAGGGAACGAAGCTTGAACCCGATATTAATCGGATCGATCAAGATCTTACGGAACGCAGCTACAAATGACATTTATACCACTCGAGTATGCCTGAACAGTTGGCTCATGAGAATTAAATAATCCTTGAGCAAGCTACCTGTAGGGAATGTTTGCCCACAATGAAAGAAGTTAGATTACATAGAAGCTAAATGCAATATTTTCGAGTATTTTAAAGATTCAATGAAACACGAAGAGTACGGCCCCGGATGCACAAGAAGTGTGTACCTTCGAGAACGGACTTGTAACTACCGGTAGGACGGACAGGGCGTGAGGCAAGCGCAAAACATCGCTGCCGGAAACCGTTGGCAAGGACGAGGAGGCGAGAGAAAAGAGAGAGAGAGAGAGAGAGGGAGGGAGGGAGAAGGAAGTTGGTAGACCGCTCGCTCGCTCGCTCGACCACCCGTCCCCAAAAGATACAAACGAGTTGAAGGCCAAGGGAACGGGAGGGAAGAACCTGCTCTGCTCGCTCTGGGCACTCGGCCCCTCGCCTCACTCGCTTTGCGCTTCGCACGCGAGAACACCCGCTGCCCACTTATGTCTCGCACGCGAGAGCTCCAACTCCCCGCAGATGCTCCCACTCCACTGCCAAGACTTCGCACGCGAGAGCTCCCTCACAACAGCTCACCGCTGCTCTTCGTCTAATTTCGCACGCGCCACCGATCGCGACACGAGCCCACCTCCCCACCACTTCTCTCTCGGCCCCTCCCTCCCTCGCTCGGCCCCAAGAACAAGCCTCTCCCGTTCTTGCCTCGCGCGGCCTCCTCCTCTCGCGCCATCTCCGCTCGTCTCCTTGCGACGACGACGACGAGGCCGACGGCTTCTCGAGCAAGTTTCGGGGACCGAAATCTCGATGCCCTCGCATGAATGTCAATGTCGCAAGAGTTCGTCGTCGCTTGTGCCGATTTTAATGTCGAGCGAGTCGAGTCGGGGCCGAGCGGGCCGACGGGCGCCGAGGGGCCGCGCCACGTCGTTGAAAAGTCCGTGAGTTCACCCGCATCGTTCAGTTGGTGTGTGCGGGGTCCACGCGACGCACGCTTGGGATTAATGCCGCTCGATTTCTCCACCCGGTTCTCCCGTCTCGCGAAACCTCGAAGCGCCTTCTTCGCACGCTTCGGCCTCCCCCTCCCCCGCTCCGTTCTCCGCGCGGTAACTTCGTCTGCCTCCCCTAGCTCCCTTCGCGGCCTTGGCCGACGGCGAGCCCCGTTCGTAAGTCACGCTGGTAAATATCCGGCGGCAGAAAACTCGTCGACCGGATGGGCAGAACTGGCCACCTGCTGCGGCGGTTTCGATCGGCACGGTAACCTCTCATGACAGGTCACCCGGCACCGAGCACATACTTCCGCGAGATCGTACCGCGAAAAGGGTGCTGCCTTGAGGGCGTTCGCCGGATCGACCTGGATCTCCCACACGGCAGGCGTGCTGCTTCTCGGACGGAGGGGGCCGGAAGAGGCTTGCGTCTGCCGTATTCCCTCTCGGGCAGGCGTTTCGGAGCCATGTGACCGGGCGGGCCCTCGACTACGACTGCTGCTGCTGCCGCCGCGGCCTGCTGCCTCGTCCGTCCGTCGTCCACTGTACTACATGTCGTCCATGGCCCTCGTCCGCCGAGTGGTAACGTCACGGGGAACGACCTGGGGCCCCCTACTGGAGCTACTACGACCACCTGAGCTCGGCGCGGCCGCCACGTGTCCTGTACCTCGGCCCGTCGTCGATCCGCTCGCTCTGCAGCTGCTGCCTGCTGATGCAGTGCAGTGGCGTCTTGAGTCTTTGAAGTGCGAGTGTGGGCGCGAGGCGAGGGGGCGCCTTTAGAACCGCAGCTGTCGCCGTCGCAGGGGAGCATTTGCCCATTCTTCGCCACAGAGGAGAGAGAGAGAGTGAGAGAGAGAGAGAGACACAGACAGCCAGCCAGCCAGCCAGCCACAGAGAACACTGGACTGGAGTCGAAGGCAGTGGAGTGGTGCTCCTGAGTCGAGGAGAGAGAAAGGAGCCGGGCAGCATCGCCTCGAGCTGAGCTGAGCTTGAGCTGAGCCCAGCACTGAGAGACAAAGAGTCGCAATCTGAGCACGAGGAGGAGAGAGGACGCAGCTGGGGCGAGCCCGTCACTCAAATTCCATGAGGTCTCCCTCAACCATGCGCTGTAGATTCCAGCGAGGGCTGCACACCATCGGCGTGAGAAAGTGAGTCGCGGAGAGGTCCGCGGTGAAGTGGACGTGGTCGAGAGAGGGAGAGAGAGAAGGAGAGGCAAGTAGACGGGAGCTGCAACTGGCTATCAGTACGCTTTTGGCCCTTTAACAAGTGGGATTGAGCTCGAAGAAGTCGTGCAGGAGAGAGGCGAAAAGCTCGTTTGTACTGCAGGGAAACGGGACAGTGTGTTGAAATTCTGGAACACGGAGGTTTGGAGGAGTGGTGGTGGTGATTTGGATGAGCGCCGCATAGTGATCCGAGGAAGCCAGGGCTCGCGTAAGACGGGATACAACATTTTATTCAGAGGCGGAGTGCGAGAAATAGCTCGAGCGAGGTGGGAAGTAGCATGAGCTTGGAGAAGCTGGACTTTCAGTAAGATGGGTTTAATGAGCAGGGCTGCTGTTGAACCAGACGCAATGGGTAACAAAGCGACCGATTCCCGATGGCTCTTTCCGCTGCGGAGATTCGAGGAGGAGCTTTTGGAGCACATTCTCATGTCTGCAAGTTGTTCTAATCCATGGCCCGGTCGCCGTGGTGGCAAGGAGGCGGAGTCCGGTACCCAAGGCTTTCCCGTGGCCAAGGAGAGGAGCAACGTCACAGACGTGGTGCAGCGGAAGATTGAGAAGATAGGTAAGAATGTCGTCGGGAAGGTGAAAGTGTTGAAGCAGGTGTTCACCGAGTCGCTGGACAAGGGTTCCGAGAAAGAGGCAGGTCGGGCCAGCCGCGAGGAATGTAGGAAAGTGGCCTGCAACGAAATAGTTCGCGCCACTCTGCACAGGCATCCTGGAAGCCAGCTGCCCGATGTTTTCGTCTGCACCCTTCAAGCACACTTCGACTCTTTCCCCAACAGGTACTTGTTGGTTTCACCACTCCCAATCCTCTCCTGCACCTCCACCTTCCATTCCTATTCGATCCTAAATCCCTCCGAGGGGGTGCTGCGTGCACGCGCAGAAACTTCTCTGAGAAGTCGTGGAGAGTCTCTCTGGTTCGTTTGATTGTTCTCAGAAGCTATGCATGTTCCATGAGCTTCCCATGCATCTCTGTCAGTAGAACGAGCTAGCGCCTGCAAAGACGGGAGAGAGGGGTCCCACTTCTTGAAATTTTGTTTGAGGTCCTTGCCGAAGTTTGTCTCTTCTAGCCGCAGCGAAGGGTCGTCGTCTCGGTTGACGCCGCGTTGACTGCAGGCGACTGATGTTTGATTCTAATTACGAGCGATGTCGGGGATTAAGGGGGACATGCGAACAAAACAGTGGATTGAAGTTAACGCGTGTCTGCTGTGAATTTGCAGCTATGCGAGGGCGGGATTCAACAGCGAGCAGGTGTTCATGCACATCCGGTTGCTGGACCAAGCGAAACTGCAGCCGGCGAATATGCCCGTGCTCCATCTCCAGGCAGCGGACTGCATGAGCCGCTCCAGCAATGTCAGCGAGTTCTCATCGACAACCAGCTCGCCTTCGTCCTCCGTGTGGGACGACAACGACCGGAGTTTGATGGACGAGGTCATAGACGTGGCCTTCGCGTGCAATTCTTCCGTGTCGAAGCCCGCTCTCGTCTGGGCCTTCGAACACGAGATGATAACCGTCAAACAGGCGACCGTATTCGAGCGCAAGGGCTCGAGTCTTGGAGTAATCCAAATTCAGTGTCCCCGCGAGAAATCGCAGCAAGATTTCATCCGGCAGGTTATCAGAACCGCCATCCGCAAGTCAAGATTCTCGAAATTTTCCTTCGGGTTGTGCGGCTGCGAGGTTCCCAGCTTCTCGGACCAGAGAGGAGTGGACGTGCGCTCGACCTGCTCCAGCAAGGATCAAGCATCAGTGTCTTCAGCCGAAGAGGGCTCCGAATTCAAAGAGAACTATTGGAACGAGGCGGACTTCAACTTCACCTCGACGAGCTTTGTCAACTCCGGCTACGGAGTGTACGGTTCTTATGGCTACCCCTGCTACCGAGGTCCATCGTCGCCCGGGGGCCTGTTTCGGATTCTAGCTGCCGAGGGCACGTCTCCTGAGATCATATCAGGCGAAGGTGAGCTGGGCAGATGGCTCGTGGACGGGGCCGAGCTTCTAATCGAAGAAGAGGTAATTTGCACGGGATCTTCAGGGACCACGTACCATGGGCACTTTAAGGGCGAGGAGGTAGCGGTGAAGGAGGTGAAGGGCTGCAAAGGCGGGCTCATCATCGAAGGGGACCTCCGGCGGGATGTACTATCGCTCTCGAGTTGCGACCATAAAAATCTGGTCCCCTTTTACGGCATCTCCCTCGACACTCGCCACTCCAGCTACATTGCGACGGTGTGCAAGTACATGGAGGGCGGGTCTCTCTTCTCTCTCGTCCAGAAGGGAGGCGGGCTCCAACTCTCGGACCTCCTGCGCATCGCCAGGGATGTAGCGGAGGGGTTGCGATTTCTGCACGACCAAGGCGTAGTGCACAGGTGAGCAAAGAACACCACTCGGGACGGTTTGTGCATGCTGCTGCTGTAGCGCTTGTTCTCTGTCGCCCAACTCCTTGCATGGCCGTATGAGATCTCCTCGTCTGAATCCGGTCTGTCATGTCTGCTTCAGGGATCTGAAAAGTACGTCCGTCCTCTTCGATGGGAGCGGCGCTGCTCGAGTCGGGGATCTAGGAGTAGTCCGACTATGGAATGCCTTCACCGAGGACATTCCCGTGGGTTCGAACTTCTACTGGATGGCTCCAGAGGTGAGGCCGCGGAAGAACGATCTCGTTTTCTCTTTCTTGTCATGGACAGTCCTCCGATGTTTCTTGCATGGTTTAGTTCGCTTCGGGCTCGTGTTGATTGCGCTCGTGCCTCCGATGATGCAGGCTCTGGGAATAGATTCGGAGAGCAACACGGTGACGGGAAAGAGCGATGTGTACAGCTATGGCATGCTGCTGTGGGAGATGCTCACGGGCCAGCAGCCTTACGCCAGCTACTCACCGGTGCAGGCAGCGTTGGGCGTGGCAGTGCACGGAATGAGACCCACCATCCCGGACACGACGTTTCTCCCGTTGAAATGCTTGATCGAGCAATGCTGGGCCAGCGACCCGCTGGACAGACCGGACTTTTCGGAGGTGCTCGAAGTGTTGGACATGGCGACTCAAGAGCTGCTCAGCCGCGACAAGTCCTGACTCTAGAACTGCGGATCGGCCTGCTCAGTGTAGTTATGTATCCCTCCCGTTGCGAGATCGAGGCAACATAGTCCTCACGGGGAAAATTACTAAAGTAGCTCCAGTATTAGGTTTTGGGGTGAGATAGATCGTCACATCCATCGCGGATCGGCGAAGCAGCGTAGACAGTGAAGGAATGTAGCGAAGCAAGGTGCAGGATTATCGATTCAGGTTGCCCGTACTCAACCCGCGGTAGTGCGCTAACAGCTCAAACTGGAGATGCGAATCCCTATATAGGAAAGATGCCCGCTTTTGGCCTTTTGTTGACCACGAGGAGCCCTGCAGCTCTCAACAATCTCTGCTTCGGTTCCTCCTGGTTCCAGTTTTGTTCTTTGTACTATACTGTATAACCGCTCTTGCATAAGCAAAGTCGTTCCTTTCCGTTCGCATTCGAGCCTCTCGGTCAGAGAGCATGTGCATGCTCCAATTCACGGTTCTACTTGGCGTTCCATTGATTCTTAGTCACCCCTCTCTCGCACTGCGATCCGAAGGGAAGGTGCTGTGAATGTGGGACGGTCTCTGACCTAGGTAGCGATCTAGAAGGCGGGGCTCGGACGAGGGCGAATGGCTAGCATGGGACGGCAGATTCTGTCCAATCCTGCCGCTGGATTGGCATCTCGCAGCAGTTTGACGTCATTTGATCATTGGGATCCTGTCATGCCATCTCTTTGAATTCTAGAAGTGGCATTCCTTTTGTTCGGTCAGCAAGCCTAGTACGGGCTAGTTATATGTAAAGATACCTCACTGTCAAACGACGCTCGATGTTAGCTCCCCCCTCTCGCGGGGGAAGGGAAGGGAAGGGCAACTAGCAAGGGTGCTGCTGGGGCTGAGGCGGCCTTTCGGCCTTCGGCAGATCGTAAACACTTGCTGGTTGTTTTGTACGAGCGGTGCGGAGCAGACCGCCGCTGACACGCTGCAGCGCTCGGGCTGCCAAAGCAGGCGAATATGATTTCCCTCCAACCCGAGCCCCCGCGCATCGTACAGCATGCGGGAGGGGTCGGTCCGGCGCGGTCCACCTCCTCCCGCTTCCCAGTGGGCAACAGTTCGGTCTGTGGCCTTCGCTTGGCTCGCTCCGTGTAGGGGTGAGTTTTTTCGGCTCGGTCGAGGAGAAAGGCGATCGAGCTCTTACGTCTTCTGCGTGTAAGCCCACTTCCTATGGAATATTTCGAGCCATCGGGGTACAACACTCATGGAGCCAACACGTATTTAATGACCGCGATATGTAACATCGCGGCTCTTGCATGCGATGCGCTTCTGTCCTTTGCACCATATCCAATTGAGCTTCTGCAGGTCCAAACACCAGCAGTTAACGTCATATTTGATGGGATCCAACACCTGTACAGCCTTAGTCAGTGGAATGATTAAACGAAAATGGGGAGCGCTCATTTCCTCCCAGCCAGCCGAGCCTTGCCCATTCGCGCATCTGGTGTCGTCATCGTCTTCCTTACTCATAAAGAACGATCTATATCCTAACGCTCCGGCCTTCTCTGCCTAGACTCTTCGGAGGTGTCCGCCCGCCCCGATCGATGAAGGTTGACGAGCATGGCTTCGTCCACTCCGGGATTAGAATTCTGGAGATAGTCCCATGGGCCCATACCTGTACTCAGCTCCACCACCTGAGACGGGTCGGGGTCAGATTTTCAAAGCAGACCTCGGAAACATCACTCCCTGGCTCGCCGGCACCAAACAGATTCGCCGGATCCGACTGTCTGGAATTCGTTGCCAGTCCCCTGCGAAAGTCAAGCGCGCCTTCTCTCCTGTTCCTCCTTTCTCGTCGCGCTGGTCTAGTGAGCGCGCCGTGAAGGTGGGACTGGAGAATAGCCGAGTGAGAGTGACATGGAGGTTGTCGAGCAACGACCCGACGATGAAAAAGCCGATTGCACCGCCTTCAATTTCTCCCTCAACAGAATTATCTCTCTATCTCACTCCCCGCCTCTCTCGCCGACCGCAGTGTCACTTCCGTGCTTGACGTGGACGCTGAAGAAGAGGAAAGGAAAGCGGCGTTGGTGGGCGGGAGGGTATGGAATCCGGACAGATTCAGCGAGCCAGGCGAGGTTGCGTCAGAGCGCAGGCCAATGGGCGACGAACATCAGTACACCACATCGCCCTCGAAGGGATAGTCCAAGTAGCTCAGGGAATGTATAACTAAAGGGCATTTGAAGCGATCGCTGACAATCGGGCACAATTCGGCATCTCGGCGCTGAGCTCGGTTGCGTATCGCAATGTATGGAGCCCCAGAATCCACAGCAGCGTCCACGGATTAGGGTAAAGCGGCATCCGACGTTATTAGAAAGCCCAAGGAATTGGGGCCTGACTTTCGAAAGTGCCATTACGTCGTTTTGCGACGAAAAAGCCCCTTCTCTAACTCATCTAGGGTTGACGCGGTGACCGGACGACGACCGATCAAGCATCCGGCACCCCCGAGGCCCGAGCGCCTCCTAATCCACCTCAGGATCGAATCATTCCGATCGCCGCTACGATCGACGACGTAGAACTGCGTCTTCCGACACGAACTGCGTTAATCTGCGGGCTGATTAGGTTAATTCGCAGGGAGGACGGCGGCGACCGGTCCCGGCATAATAGAGGGCGGAGGAGGAGGAGGAGGCCGAGAGTCTGGAGTAGAGAGAGAGAGAGGCGGTCCGCCATAACGAGAGCCGTTTAAACAGGGCCCGCGCCCGCTGCCGAACGGTCCTCAGATGCGGGGCAGCACGCACATCCGGTCTCACGATTGGTGGGGGAGCGCGTAAGATCGATCACGTGCAGGCGAGGCCCACAAGATCTGCTGGCCTTTCCGACGTGGCGGGACCGTGGCCCTCGTGACATGGAGGCGGCCCGCTTTCGGTCCGAGCCCTTTTGGCCCCTTTTTCCAGAAAATACAATTTTATTGCCGCAAGGCCTTCTTCGCGTCGAGTGCTCGCACCTTTATCGGCGCCCGATTTTGAGGAAAAGGGGGAGATTTGGGATTTGCATTCGGTGTCTGAAGCGCTATCGTGTCGGAGCCATGAATCCTGGCCTTGGTACTGCGAGATCCCGCCGTCATGCAAACGGTGTGCATGTTTGTCTCTCGTGGAGGATGCGCGCAGATTTGGGCCCATCATTGGCCAGCGGCCGAGAGCCCCTTCCTTCGCGACTAACTTCTCCGTCTCGCGTTCGAGGCGGAGCTCGCTCGCTCGCTCGCTCTTCACGAGACTTCCATTAACCCTATTTTCTCGAACGGACATTTACGTACATGCGCTCGCACATTAATGCCTTGCATGAGGCATTAGTTGCTCCCGTTACAACTTGCGATAGTTTATGATTATCCTCAAGCTTTGGCCTCGGCTTGCCAGAGCTCGGTCCGTCCGTAGCCATCCGTTACAACACGGGGCCGCGAAACCTCATCGTCCGCATCCTCGTCGGTGCTCTGGTTCTTTCGACGTTGAGCAGTGCGGTGCGTCTTGTCGATCCTCTACTACTCGCTTCGAGGAATCGACGACGCTACCCTAGCACGAGCCTCGCCTCGCCTCGCCTCGCGTCGACATTTATGTGACGCGCGGACGCGAAGCACGGGGCGTAATGTTGGTGCTCCCTCTCCCCCGTGTTCGTTTCGCGCTTCCTCTCCGTCTGCGCAAACCTCTTTCCGACTCGAATCCAAGTGAACCAGCTCGCAACTCTTTGGGGGTGTCGAGGGAGGGAGTGAGTGAGTGAGTGAGTGAGGAAGAAGGTGAGACAAAGTTTCGTAAGGTTGGAATTCCCCGCAGATTTGCCTGCCTTTCGCGAAAAGATTCCAAACGCATACATGTAAAAAGAACGAGCTCGAAGAATGTCGCTCCGCATGATCTACCTTTTGCACCGACAGCTTTTGTTTCTCTGAAAAGGCATGATGACAACAGAGAAAGCGATTCCTCGCAAATTGGATCAGAGCAAAAGTCAATGTGATGCATATTCGAGACCGTAGAGTCTGTCTACACTTGCTCTCTTTCGCGGCCGAGCTTTTGGGCATGCTTGTAGTCCCTCGCCGGAGGACAACACGGTCAACAGGATTTTGTGAATCTGAGCAGTGCAGGGCAGCGCAAGGACAGGGCCGATGGCGGAAGGGAAGCCGCAAAAGCGAACAAACCAACTCTCGCTACAATAATGACCGTCAATCGACTGCCGTGTGATGTGGGAAGCGATCCCTCCGAACGATGGAAAGCTCGTCGTCCTACATCCACACTGCGGATTGCACAAGAGGGCCCATGGGGCCAAGCAGTCGTCGCTACCGGTAGGCCGTGACGACCTGCATTCGTCGCCGCGACCTCCTACCCCGTCACAGGGTGTCATGGCACATACGCTCCCGCTGTCAGCAAAGTGCTCCGAGGTGGATTTAAGGACTCCCCGCAAGACTCTGAGCTCTTTACACTTGGAAAGATACAGTACAGTCGAAGGAGTCGCTCCTTTTCGCTGCGTACGATCTTGGTCCCGCCGGTCCTCGGGCCGTAGTAACTCGCTATCACTGCCTGACATGTCCCGTCAGAGACGTGGTACGGCGATCCGCAGTCGGTCAGTCGGCCGGTCAGTCAGTTCCCGGTTGAGGTTGGTTACGTTCTCTCTCCACCCTCGGATACGGCAAATAAATCCTTCCAGTAACAGAAATATGACTCCCCGTCAGACACCGCTAGCAGTCTAGCTAGATAGCTCGCTCACCTCCATCGCCGTCGCCAGCACCGTCCCCGTGCCCATCATACTCACAGCAGGATCGAGCTTCGTGACTCGAGAATTCGTGGACTCGGTCGATGCTCGAGCAGTGGGAATTGAACGAACGAACGAATTTTGAGTGCCAGCCATGACGATGGCTGCTCACTGTTTGCTCATAAACCCGGAACTCGATCACCTCACGGCCCACTTGGCTGAGTCGAGGGAAAGTGCAGCTCGTGCTGCGCTTCCTCACTTCCGGCAAACGGAAGTAAGTGCCGTTCGGTGCAGTGCGTTGGGATGCCGCGCAGTCACAAGGGGTGCTGGTGCCTGTTCCCACGTCTTTTCTTCCCTACCGCAGTAGTCTACTCCCTCGTGGCCTTGTTCGATGTGCAGTAACCGGTGCGCGTAGAAAATTCTGCGTAGTCTAGCTGTGGACATAACTGACTCACTGCCTGCATGCCTTGGTTCACAGCCGAAAGGTTCAAAAGTCATGAAGATCGAGATGTTGGAGTTTCTTCAGCCCCCAATTTCGATCTAAAGTGATAGTTGCGATCGTGAGGAAAACATCCCCAGGTTCAGAAAATGTTGACAAGTGCATGAAGCAAAACATGAACATGTCTGTCGAAGAGGTCACGCTCTGGTCACGAGTCCATTCTCTTGTTATGGAAGTTCGGAGTGCAAAATGAAGTCTCTAGGAACTCTCAATCACGACACCTTCCCATGAATCTCAAGGTTGCTAAAGAGAAACTCCAGGAGGATGAGGAGGATGCGCGATGATGCTTGCCTGCTTGGACGTCTAGGAAGAAGAGAAAGCTTCGAGAGACTAGCTCCAGGCCACATGCGCATCGTGTGACATGCCCAAGAGTTGCGTCTCCCAAATAGGGTCGGGCATATCTATGCATAGAATAATATCAAGAGCATACGGGCTCCTCGTCTTTTTGTTCAGTAGTAGAAGCAGCCCTTCGTACCTGGCCTTCAGGTGAAGGCTGAAAACACCTTCCTTGAAAAATCCATGGATTGTTACCACCATCATAGAAAGTATATTACCCTCTGGCAATCATTTGTCATCATAGACCTCGCCCCTCACTCTTCCCAAAAGTTCCGTAACTTCTACCTTTACATCTCTCCAACGATTGGTTGTACCGTCCAAATTATATAAAACCCGCTTGTTTGTACCAAACCCCACTAAGGATCGGCAGCTTACTGATTGATGCCGTTGCATAGATGCAGACAGACCGATAGGTGTTACCCCATTGTACTAGTTGGGGCTGGGGATCATTTCCACTCTCTCCTCCTTACCATTCAATCATTGATACTGCAAAGTTCATCCTCAGGAACTCTGTAATATCAATGTTCTTCAGGGCAAAAAATGAAGTGATGGCGCTTACACAAAAAAGAATAATCTCCATGAGAAGGTTTCTATAAACAAAATAGTTCCCAAGTTCATGCAGAAGAAATCTGATGGGAATAGGATGATGCTCTCTGGAAAGATACAAACCAGCCCACTCGAGCTTCAGAAGAAACAGTTCTGTAGATTAGAATTGTCTGATCTCGAGATGTCATTGTTCCTCACTCCCTCATATCTACCATCGTAATGCTCTTTAGGCCTGGTCCCAGACTGCTGTCCCATTTGGTTTCATTCGTGTGCGGCCTGAGTTTTTCACCTCTTTCCTTTTTGCTATATTTCTTGGTGCCCCTCTTTAATTTGAAAATGTTAATTGCATTCTGGGCGTGGGTGACGTCAACGCTTATCGGGGAAGATCTACACGAGTATAAAAGTGAGCACTCGAAGACAAATGTTTAAGACATATCCTCGAGCCAGTAGATCTTTCACTCTCACCAAGAGGGACTTGAAGAAGAGATAGAAAGAAATAAGAGAGTGGAAATAAGATAAAGAAAGAGAGAGAGAGAGAGAGAGAGAGAGAGAAATCAATGATAGGGTGCTTCTTATTCAGCTACTGATCTCGTCTCGGATTCAACTGCGTCTAGTTAGAGAAGAAGTCGTCAGTAAGAGGGGAGGGGGAGACAGGCACGCACAGTACTGTAGCCGTGATGGCAAACAGAAAGCCGCAGCTGGAAAAATCACGAGAAAATGGAGCTGTCACTTTTGACAATAAACTCGGAGGATAAAGTCGATCACATTCTCGTAAGGGGAATAAGAATTTGTTTTTTCTAGTTCAATGAGGATTGACTTGGATCTCGACGTGGACCTTTCCGAATTTTACCATGAAGACGGTCGACGGTTCATTAATATTCCGCAGTAAAATGTTTCTTTTGGTGCCACCCACCCACCCACCCACCAGTCCATCCATCAATCCGTCCATCCCCTCTCTCTCCATTCTCTCCCTTCAGGCAGAGCTACGGAGTCCACAAACCTCAAACCGGGCAATGCTACATTGGTATATTCGATTATTGCCATGGTTCTTTTCAGGCCACGAGTAAAAGCTTCAGAACAGATAGCAAGAAATATTCCTTCTGAATAAAGAGCGCATGATTTTATTCTCTGCTGGTCTGCTGGAAGACAAAGCGGAATGATGGAGGGTGGGTGCGTCACTGCATGTGATCATAGTGAATGAGTAGTGAGTGAGTGCATCCCATCCAAATACAATTTCTGAGTCCAGATCTGTCTGCTGTGTCAAGGACTCCCTTAGCTGGTATGCGCTATGGCAACTACAGTTTCACTCCATGCGTCGAGCTACATCCTTCTCAGATTCCCATGAATAAATAAATCAGTTTTTTCCTGGCCACCCTGGCCCGTCTCACCGGCCGGTGCATCTTCTGTGCTCATTGTACCTGTTGGTCTGGTGGGACAAGATCATCAAAATATCATTGTTTATGCCATCAGTGTGTCGAACGGACTCGACCTACATGTTCGTTTCCCATGTCCTCAGTGGTGGAATTATGGCTTTCTCCTCGGCGGCAGCTATCATCACCGGTGAATCTCGAGTGCATTTCGAGCGTTGTCAAGTCAAGCTGTGATGTTTTCGTGCCCCTTTGGTCTGGCTGGATAAGAACACCACAATCTTTCGTTTATTATATCCATGGAATCCATCTTGGCCTAGTCTTCACGACATTTTAGAGCATCATGCCTAACTCGATGCCGTAGTCTGCCCTAGGATGTACAATCATGCATGTTCAAGCATTTCGAGTGATTTCGAGTGCATTTGAGCATCAAACTGGAGTACCTCCACGGTCTGGTCGGATAGGGTAACATCGATTGACCGATGATCATTGATATGTCCCTCCTAAATATTTACTTCACACTCGATGCAAAATCTGGTCGCCCTTAATTCCAGCAGCAAGTATCGTGCATGCGTCACCATACATTGTGGTTTGTTTGTTTGTTTGTTTGTTTGTTTGTTTGACTCTGGTTGGATTCAAGCAAAATCTTATGCCTTCAGATATTTGAAATGTTTTCTCATGTGGGAGTCTCTTATTTCATCTTTTCCGGTTTGATTCTGCTCTTCTCAATAGGTGCCTTGACGTCCTCGGTGACGTTTGCAGTCAATATTATTTTTGTTCTCAATTTCATTAACACAGTCCATTTTACTGTCACTCTCCCATGCACTTATTGCCAATCTTTGTGTCGACATACGTGGTAGTCTTTTCTAAATTCCTCACTGATACGCATATGATTAAATTTGGCCCTCTGTGAGTTAAAAAATCCTCCATACAGAAGGTGCTCTGTTCGTACGTTTGACAAGGCATTGAGAAGTCTGTGGCATACGTAGCGCAACGAGCAGGATACAAACATCAAACACGAGGAATAATGGGCAATAATTAGAGGAATTATGATGGGTAAAGAACTCCGTGTAAAACTGGACACTGCAATTGTAGCAGCAGGTGCATGAGAGATGAAACAGTAGAGATACAGCGGTTTATGTGCCTGGTTAGTTCATTCCTTGTTGCATCAGCCTTCAATAAAATGTTCTTATTATCTTATTATGCATCTATCCTCGTTTCACCACTCAAAACCACTCGTTTGTTCTCTTTCAGGAAAGTTTCTCGATTTGAAAAATCTATGCTCAGTCATGAAGCTAACTCTGCGCTGACTTCCATCAAAACACTTTATTGATGATGAGGTAAGAAGTTGTACATTCGGAATGACACTTAAAGCGACTGTTTATGTGGTCATGGAGCTGACGATGGTTCTGAAAAACCTTAATAAGACTTCTGCGCTGAGATGGCACTCTTATTAAAGAAGGAAAGTTGCGAACTCGCTCTGATCCTACTTTAGAGCGAGGACAACCGAGAACAGCAATGATCAGTTTATATCTCACAAAGAAGAGAATTTTACTGACTGATTTTATATCAAGGCAGAGCAGTTGATGCTAATGGGATCCTAGCAATACTAAGAAGGATGTTGCAAAGAGCATATGGCTGAGACAAGAATGGTGCGTGATCACTGAGCGCTAAAGAATATACTCTCTCAGGTGGATTGGCTTTGATGATCTGTGTCTGCTCTTCAGGCCGTATGGCCAGATCCGATCCCGTCCTTATGTAGAACCTCCTCACCCTGCCGTAGTTTTGTGGTGTCAAACTGATGGACTCGTCTCCCGGTCTGTAAGGCGTTGGATTTAGCAATGTACTTGCCAGGGTGATTGCCTGCATCCATCCACGCACACTTCAAGCTTCTTCCACCTTCACCAAAGAGCGTGTTCTCAAATTTCAGAAAATATTCATGCCAAGTGCCGGTAAATCCACTGTCTTCCAGCGAAACAGCAGCACTTGGTATCCATCCTCTTGATGCCATCTTATTTTGCGTGTGTGCAATTCAACTTACCCAGCGTGGGGTCCTGTTATACAGGAAAGTGGGGGACGATGAAACATTGATGCTTACAGAGGTGGGAGGGTTACCCTCGGGTATCAGCTGATTGGCCTCCAACAAACGAGTTAGAACCTGTGATAGCAGTTTTCATCAGTCCAAATATCACATTCCAAAGTCAGTCTTCTATCTATGGGAACGATCATCATGGGGATGAAGACTTCCAATCTTCTTATATTAGAATGGAAAGCTTTATATGGTACATGATTCTTCAAAGTGCTGCGACTCTGATCACGAATACCATTATACTTCATCCTACTTGAATTGGAAACTTAAGACTTTTGATGCAGGATTCAACACATCGCTTTTTTAAATCTGAAGTTCAAGAGCATCTCACAATTAATAGAGAATTTGTGTTTCACTACCTGCTACACAGGTGTACGGAGAAACGTCAGTGGACAAACGTTTTGGAATTTGGACTGAAGAGCTATTCCAAAGAGATCTACAGCGTGCAAACGACACTTACTTCGAGAACTTCTAGTAACTTAGAAGCTGTCTATAGATTGATCAATTCAAGTCATCTTCATCGGTATAAATTTTCAATCCTTTGATATATATATGTATATAATGGTATCTATGCAATATGTTTTCTTGGCCGATCTTGCAATTTCCGAAAAGACAAGGTGAATCTAATGACGTTACAGAAACTTACTGATTGTGGCAAAGAATTGAAAAAGGTTTGCTGGTTGGTTGGCATTATTGATGTAAGAAACACAGCTTTCGATATTTTTTCTGGAAATTTTTCCATCATCACTGAAATAGATCCTCCTCCCAAACTATGTCCTACTATGATCACCTGCAATAAGGTCAAACCGAATTACTTTCACCAAATCAAATTTCTTCATTTGCAGTACCTGAATATACTAATCTGAAATTCATTTACATACACCATGCAAGATTCGACTTATGGTTTGGCTTAACAAAGTATAAACTGCGTACGTTGCGACAATATGGTAGTAGATGAGTGCTAATGAATTAACAGTTTCTAATTATCAGCATGTCTGTATTTTTAATTAACTCCATACATATCTCAGCTTTAAATGAATTCAGATTGATTTTCCACACTAGGACTTGTCTGTATGGTCCGTACAACATTCGCCAGCATTGAGTTGCCTAGAGACATCTACATGAACATTGCAACTATCTTCAACAGATCTCCAACTATCTTCAACTCTGAACATGATGATCTGTAACATAGTCATATATATGATGAACAATCAGATCACTTTCTGGGTCTAGAGTTCTAAACCAACGGTGGGTGGGGTCAGTTCTCATCATATGATTGAATTCTTCAAGACTGTGGCCCTTTTACATCTCTTCCAGCTATCCTTCTTTGAGAACGTCATCTATGTCCATCTAGAAATGATTCCGGTGTGTCCCTATCAGTAGCCTAGGACTAGCTTATAAATCAAACTTATGAAATGGGAGCTTCACTCACAGGTTTGGTTATAGTTTCGAATAAATCCGTGAGTGGTTTCACATACTCATCTATAGTCTCCACTTCCGATGCGTCAACTTTATTAATCCCTTGAGAGGTCAAATCCACTCCGAATGCACTGTAACCTGCTTCTTGTAGGCACGTTATCACCTGTGCGAAGGCCCAACCACCATGACCAATTCCTGGTACAAGTACGAACTGTGGATTCGTGATATTCTCCTGCCAGCCAGTCAGAGCTTATATTGTCATTCCGAAATTAGAAACTATTTGGTTCCATCCAACTTTAGAAAAAGAAAAAATTCCAGTCTGAACTCATTACGGGAGTGGTAAACCGAAGAATCAAACATCTAGCCACGAAACTGATAAGTAAACAAAGTAAAGCGTGATCATCCATGACAAAAAAGTGAAATTCACTGCACCAGATCTTGGTAAGAGCGCAGCAAAATTCATGATACAGATACAGACAAGGATTTTGAATCTCTTAGAACTTAGACACATTAGATTACATTCTCTGCAAAAATGCCCGCTCGCATGCCACTGATATGACATACTAGAACTGAAATCTATAAAAGCAAGAAAATATGTGGCCACCATTTTTTCATCGAGAGCAGTATAAGTAAGTTATCAACAGAGGTAGCATAAAAATTATCTACTACAGTACCATGAACAAACATGAGTGGTACCAAGTAAGGCTTCTGGTGAACGGACTTACCTGTGCATAAGCTCCATTGAAAAGCATACTTGTAATGACGAAGCTCAGAACGAATGTTGTAGGAAACCGAAACTCCTCATACGACTTCATTCTCTTACCGTCCTGTGCTGCTTCTCTCGCAGCTTTCACTCACTGAATGAAAGAACTCTTCGAGGTGATTCGTCCTGTGGCTTTCGCAGCATTATAACATGGTCAACAGGAAATGAATGATGATTCACGTGAAGACTTCGAGTATTTATGCGGTTTTCTGAGCTAACCCTTGAGATCCAGAGAACTTTTCAACTGTTTCATACCATGATGGACTGATATTTGGTTCGTCCTCAACTTATAAAGTAAAGTTCCTCACGATACGAAATCTTATACGTCAGCGTCAATTTTGCATAGAACTACTGTGATTGTTTTACAGCACGGTGAAGCGTATGACAAACGATAGATCGAGTCATCGCACCGTCTTGTTGAAACCTGTTGGGAATTTCACATCCATAAATGGTCGGTAAATTCATGCAGGAAGCTTGGATCTCTATCTACAGGCACGTTCGTTGTAAGGGATGCAGAGCGACATTTTAGATTTATAGAAATATGATCATTCGGCTGGAAAGTAATAAGTATATGTATATATCAATCAGATCTAGAGGTCTGCTCAAAATCAAATCGTCCAATCTTAAATTTTGGTGAATCTATGTATTATGAAAGATAGGAAAATCACACATAGATATAATTTCAAGCACTTCTTTACAAATTGCATCTGGTATATTGGATTGTGGTGGGGGGATTGGGGGTTGCTTGCACTTATGTGCGCATGTATTTTGGAGTTTTCGCACTTGCGGACAAGTAAGCACTTTTCACCTTGGAATTAATGAGTGAAGTGGACGGCAGTATTTAAGCATTTCGAATGTCTTCAGGAACCATCGCTTTTCGAGCGTCGACTTACAAGATTTGATCACAAGTTTGAAAGTAGCTTTATCTTGCACTCACTCATGAAAGATGAGCATGACGACATAACTTTTCAGCACTACGACTCTTGGATGAAACGCGATTCACACATGCCTCACGTTCGGATCGTCGAGTCTAGTCTAATCTAGTCTACACATCGAGAAGGTCAGTCCTGTTCGAGCCAAGGCCCTGCTTCGGTTTCCGAGTCCTTCGGGCCTGTGTAAGAGAAACGATTGGACACAGCATGACCATCCCATCAAACGCAACTCAACTACGTGGTCCACTATTTCCGCATCACTGCCTGGACATTTCGTCCAGCTCATCCATCGCCTTTACAAAATTATAAGATACATTACACAGTTGACAAAAATGTAGCCACTTTTTACTATACTCACAGCTCTTCAACGCACTGAGCTGGTGTGGTCATCTTTCATGAACTCTCGTTGAACTGATTTTGAGAGCCACATATGAAAACGTGAAGCCTCATCCTCCATTCAGTCTACTCCAGATAACTTGAGGTTTGCTAGTTTCTGTTCCTTCCCGCACACACAAATCGGAACAGTTCTCAAAGGGTTTGTCGGAAAAATTCATTTTCTGAATGGCTTGGCAGTGCCTAGTGGACACTAATTTCTTGAATGACTCGATTGTGTTGTATATCTAAAAGCCTGATTCAGGTCCAAGAAAGGAAGAACGAATTTCAAAATTTTTAATCAAATTCTACTAATTTAAAGTTTTACTGCTGATATATCCACGTGCGTGGAAGATAAAAGTATAATAAGTGATTCGAATCATTACTTCTTTCTTTTGCATCCATATACAAGAAATGTATATCAATGGTAATGTACTGACAAACAAACATCAATAGAAATAAAAAGAAGGAAAGAAAGAAAGGAATAAATTCCGTCTAAACTAAGCTACAATGATCCAAGGAGATGAATATATTTAAAATTAGAATTATAATCTAAGATATATGATCATACTGATTGATTGTGTTCTTTTACAAATATTGTGAATAATAAATTAATTTTTAGTTCAGATGAATAAATGATTTTTCATAAATGAGAAAGTACAATCTCTTTGTTTGAAATGTATGATTTTCTAATTCCTATTTCTAAAAAAAATAGTTATTTCTAACTAGAAATAACTCATTAAAATAGTGATTCCATTTTTGCAAAAATGAAACCATAGTATGCAAGTAATAAATTTTCTTTATCACATAGATTAAAAAAATATAATTCATTTATAAGTATAAAAAAATGATCAACAAGTAGACAAATAATTAAATTAAATTTTCAAAGAACCTGGTAAGATCAAGTATATAACAAAATAGCTAAAATATCGAATAAAGTATTATCAATATGACATCAATCATGCAATTAGAAAGTACACATCAACAGTGACACAAAAACCTTATCTATTTCAAATTAGAATGTTACCTTTGGAATTGAATGTTTGTTGAATTCAATCTTCTTTCGTAGATAATGAAATTGAAATCCATTTTATAAAGAAAGAATTAATATGTGCACAAATGATTTCATGTTTCTATGCACTTAACCTTGAGTCACATCATTTTTCAAACCATCCATTCAAAATGGGAAATTTGTTTTTTAATATGCATTGGATTTTCATTTGTCTTTGAAATTAATATATGATGAAAATTTTCATATATTTCTGTCTAACGTGTTGTAACATATTGCATTTATGATAATATTCACCTATTATGCTAAAAATATTTAAATTTTATAAATGTAAATTATACAAGACAATTACTATTAAGATAAAAAAATTACAGGATAAAATATCAAATTTTTTAAAGTCATTGCTCTCTCAAAACATCTCCTCTATTAAAATACAGTTGTTTCATAAATAATGTCTCACTTAATTTTAGCAATAAATAATAAATTCTTTTAGGCTTAAACATACAAAAAAATTTCATATAAATTGGATATAAATAATAAATATTTATAAATGATTTTAATTTCACGTAAATATATTACAAATAATTTTTTGGAGTGTATATGTTCATAAGAATTTTTTTGTATAATTTAATACTTATTGAAAAAATAAAATCGAAGAATCATTATCTTTAATAATGTGGTACAGTTTTATTGAATTTATTTTTACCTCTCTATGGTATGTTTTAACATGAAAATGAAAATTATTATGAAAAGTATGATCATCATCCATATTTTAGTTTCCTAAGTTATTTTATTTTTACTTATCATTGTAATTAATAATTTTTATTTGATCCAACAAGATTAGAAATAAAATTGGTATAATATTTGAACATTTCTAATTTAAACTACAAAACTTCAATAAAGTATTAAAAGATTTGGAATTTTATATTCAATTATTTCTGCATATATGTTACTTTTTTTCTTTTCTGAAAAAATCACAATGTTTTATTGAGAGATTGCAATATTTGCAATTCATATTAGTCATATCTACATAGATTGAATAACGTTATTTTACATAGTAAAATAAAATAATTTAAAAGTTATATTTTTATGCAAATGCATAAAATCAATGTCATAAAAAATTTCATTGATCACGTTTTTGTTTAATCATATGTATGAGTTTATAATTGAATTGGATTTAAATAATGAAAAATATGATGATTCTTAAAATTTTAAATTTATAAGGAACTAATATATTTGTTTAATAATGATCAAACAAACATTTTTTAAATCCCTTGAAATCAGAGATATGTTAATTTTAACGTAAAACCAAAAGTCATTGAAGACAAGTACAAAGACATGAGACACTAATGTAAAACCAAAAGTCATTGAAGACAAGTACAAAGACACGATACACTAATATAATGTGATTCATCCTCAAGGATTACGTCCACGGTTGGAACACTCAATGCACGCATACGAGTAGATACCTTGGGGGTATATATATACACAAAGCTAGCGACACACCTAACTAGAAATAACTATAACTTGAGATTACTCCTTAATCGGAGTTAACCTCAACAATCTCCCCTTAACTCGTGTTAAGTAAACAATAACCTCTGTAATTTATATTATTACTCAGCGGTAAGTTCTAGACAAAAACCTTACACAAGGGTTCTCTTTACACGAGGGTTACCTAGAACTAAACCGTAACTATAACATGATATAGTAATATAAATAGATAACTAGGAAACTTGCTTGCATAGAAGGATCATAGATCTCGTAATTTATATATTTACTCTGCATTAAGTTCCAAAAAAAAACTTAGTGCAAGCTTCCTCTATACACAAGAGTTAACTAGAACTAAAACATAATCATCACTTGATAGAGTAAGTATATAAAGAGATAACTGAAATTACTATGCTAGCAAATTCTACATTTTCTTCCCATGCACAACCTGCATGGTAGCACAGTGATGACTAAAACTCTCCAAAGGAATAACTTTAGTCAAAGCATCCGCTAGATTGAGTTTACCATCAATCTTGACTAGCTCAATTGTTGTATTAGACACTGCTTGTTTGATAAAGTGGTACTTGATATCAATGTGCTTCACTCTACTATTCATGACTTTGTTCGCAGCCAAATGTAAAGCACTCTGACTATCACAATGAAGATTAATCACGCTCAACTTCAATCTCATTTCCATGATAAGCATATCCAACCAAATAGCTTCCTTTGCTGCATCTGCTGCCGCCACATACTCAGCTTCCGTTGTTGAATGAGCTACGCATCTATGCAAGGTAGACCTTCATCTTATGCTTCCACCGCCAAGTGTAAACACATAGCCAGTTGTAGATATTCTTTTATCTAAATCTTGTCTATAGTCAGTATCAACATAACCAAACAAGGATTTTGCATTGTCTAATAGACCATCAAACTATAAATCATAATCAGAAGTACTCTTCAAATCTCATAATCCATTACACTACTACCTAGTGAACTCTCCATGGATTCAACATGTACCTGCTCACCTTGCCCATCGCAAAAGCAATGTCCGACCTAGTGTACACCATCAAATAAATGAGGTTGCATACGGCTTGTTCATGCAGAACACATGATATTAATTTTTTTCCAGAACATCAGCACGACATTGAGTTGCGGAGAGTTTGAAATGTGCTGCCAAAGGAGTCCATACTCCTTTAGAATCGACCATGTTGAACCTATCAAGTATACGACGAATATACTTGCCATGACTCAACCATAGCCTCTTCTGTTCAAGATCCTTATGAATCTCCATGCCTAATATTCTCTTTGACTCCTCCATATCCTTCATCTTAAATATTGACTTCAACTTACTTTTGCAT